AGTTTTGATATTAATATCATTTGGATGTAAATTGTTTGTAAACTCTGCTGGTAGGAATAACGGCTCTCTAATAACTAAATTTATAAAAAAAATTATTGAAACATTACAAAGGAACAAACAAAAATTTAAAAAATTTTAGCAACTGTTTGGAACGGCATTCTCTGAACACTGCTTACCTTTGTCGTCGCCATTAAGGAGAATATAATCTGTCACACCAGCCATTGACTTCAAGTTAGATTTATCGGGGGTGAATTTGTTCGTTTGAATCCAGCATGGAGGATTGCTGTTGATGTCATAGTCAACAACGTAACAGTCCTTCATGTAGTAGCAGGTCACCAAGCAGGAATCCCTGTCGTAGATCCACACGTTGCTCAGGCCGGGGTAATTATGTTCCTCTGTCACTTTCCAGCTTTTATCTGAAAGTCCATAAAAACTCCACAATGAATGGTTATTTGCAATGATGTATTTTGAATGGAAAGAAACAGCAACCTACCTCCTCCAGGCAAATCAGCAGATGCGCTGAAGACACCGATGGACATCAAAGTTATCGCTGCTAGCATCTTGTTACACTGGAGGTAATCAATGTTAATCATTGTTATTAACAATATTTAACATGAAATGAATAAATATGCTGTGCATTAGTCAAGCGTAGTCAACCAACAACTTACCTGTGAATATGAAAGACGGTGAAGGCATGTTTCAGTGCGCTTCTTTTATACGTAATTTGGTTCATTCGTGTGTTTTCAAATTCATGGGACCATAAAATTTCTGGCGATGAGTTATTATCATGGCTTTATCATTTTTAACTCATAAATTTATCATATTCGACTATTTGAAATTTTTTGTCTGACGTCTGTTTGTCTCATTAAATTCAAATAGAAACGTCTAACCCAAATGGTTCAATTTAATCGTGCGTTTTCAAATTCACGAAACCATAAAATTTCTGGCGATGAGTTATTATCATGGCTCTATTATTTTTAACTCATAAATTTATCATATTCGACGTTTGAAATTTTTTTGTCTTACGTCTGTTTATATTCAAATAAAAACATCTAACCCAAATGGTTCAATTCAATCAATCAATCAATTAGTTTATAAAGCGCTATTTCGCAATGTTCAACAGCGCTCTTCAATAAACTGTGCAAACAGATGGGTCTTTGTAAGTGATGGAGAAGTAGTCTGAGAAGGAGGTAGAGAGTTCCAGAGAAAAGGGCTTGAAATAGCGAATGCGGATTTAGCCAAAGAGTGTTTAACACGAGTTGAGAAGAAGTGAGAACAAGAAGCAGAATATCCATTGCAGAGCAGAGTGAGGGATAACAGTGCGACTTGTAATTTAGGAAATTAGTATTAAAAAAGCCCAACGCAACTGAAACAAACATTACCAACTTATGTTGCTAGTTTTTAAAGCGAAATTCTTATTTGGTAATAACTCAACTACGGAAGCTATGACGATAATCAAAAACTAGACGATATTCTAAACAAAGGTAAAAAGTTAAAGGTTTTTTAAAATTGATTTTTCATTGATGTTTTTGGTTCTATGGATCAAGAATTTTAGCAAAAATTTATTTTAACCGATGTATGATATATATATATATATATATATATATATATATATATATATATATATATATATATATATATATGAGATTTGCCATATCCATTATATACATCCATGACA